CTCTCCTTATTTGGGCACAGGAATGGTAGCTGAGAAAATATGTGATTGAACTGACAAGGGGTGATTTGTGGTTCGTGACTCCTCTTCTTTCGCCCTCTGCATTGTCTATCCTTTGACAGCCCTCACCTCTCATGCCTCCAATTTATGCCGATTTAAAACCTTGCAGCAGACATCTAGAGTGCAGGCTCGGAGTTAATGAGACTGGGATGAATCCTGATCTGCCTGCTTCTAGTTCTGTGACCTTCAGCAAGTTACTGATTTTCATCATGCTCCAGGTTCTTCAATAACAAACTGGTAATGATAATGCCTACTTCACAGGGCTGTTGTGGAGATTAAATACGTTAATATACATAAAGCCCTTAAAATAGTGTCTGTGCACATATATAGCGCACTATATATGTGTGTGGTTATTATTATTATACTCTGATAGCTTGATTAGGTCCTCTCACACTTCTGAATTTCAATTTCCTAAAAATGCTGGACCGTAAGTTTTCCCATACTCAAATGAACTACATGGGTCTGAACAGGGAGCACAGAGGGAGAACCATTAGGAAAATGTTGGCTAACTAACATTGGGCAGCAGCATGCCAAGGCTGTCCTGTTTCCAGAATCTTCAGAGTCTGACATGCTTGGACTTCTGATGCTCATTAGCTGGTGTCATAACTTCCAACTTAAGGGCTTGCCAAAGCCTCCTTGCTTAGTCAGAAAAATTCATTTTCATCCTGGAATACGTTTATTTATTGTTAAATGTTATTTATTCATTAGTCAGAGTTCTGATGATGGCAGCTTTGACCTTGTCATTCTAAAAGACAAAACTCCATGCCTCAGGCAACAGTTAGTCTGGTGTTACCAAACCATGTGCTCATGCAGGGCAAGTAAATGAACCTGCAGGGACAGCAAGGGTTGGAGAAAGTTCAGGAAAGCTTATGAGGGAATGCACTGGAATCTTAGCCAAGGGTAGGAAAATAGCCCAAGAGACAGGGGGCGGGAGTGAGAGGAAACACTCAGATATTAAAGATGTATTGGCTCCTTGTCACTTCTGTTCTTTGGAGCAGAGTTAACTCTTCAACCCCTGTTCTCACCATTGCCTACTAGGTGCTTGCCAATGTTGCCATTGTGGTTTTAATTTGCAATTTACTGACAATTAGTGACGTTGAGCATCTTTTCATCTATGTATTGGCCATCTCTATGCCCTCTTTGGGGAAATGCTTTTTCAGGTCCTCTGCCCATTTTTTAATGGGATTGTTTGTTTTTTTGGTGTTAAAATGTTTGAGTTATTAATAAATTTTGGATATTTACCCCTTATCAGGTGTATCATTGGTGAATATCTTCTTCCATTTAACAGTCTGTTTTTTCATTTTGTCTGTGGTTTCCTTTGCTGTGCAAAAACTTTTTAGTTTGATGTAGTCCCATCTGTTTATTTTTTCTTTTGTTTTCCTTGCTTAAGATATATCAAAAAAAATATTACTAAGAGCAATTTCAGAGTTACTGCCACTGTTTTCTTCTAGAAGTTTTATGGTTTGGGGCCATACATTTTTTGTTTTTAATCTATTTTGAATTTATTCTTGTATATAGTGTAAGGTGGTCTAGTTTCTTTTCTTTTTTTGGCATGTATCTGTCCAGTTTTCCCAGCACAATTTGTTGAATATACCCCATTCTATATTTTGCCTCCTTTGCTATAGATTAATTGACTGTATATAGGCATGGTTTTATCTCTGGGCTCTCTATTCTGTTCCATTGATCTATGTGTATTTTTATGCCAGTACCATGCTGTTTTGATTATGATAGCCTTGCAGCATAGTTCAGGTAGTGTAATACCTACAGCTTCGTTCTCCAGGCCCCTGACCTGTGACTTATCCTCAGCCTGATGCAGCGTAGGGCCTCTCCTGGAGCCCCTCCTGATAGTAGCCTGCGCTGTCCCATTGTGCCACCTCCCATGGCTCATCTTGTCCATCCCACTCTGCACACTGGTTCTTCCTAGTCTTTACTCATCTCTATAAAATAACCCCCTTTGAGACACTTGCATATCTCACAGTGGAGCATCCTCATCATTGTAATAAGCCCCAACCACCATCGCAACAGTCCCTTTTCCCTTTTTGTAATAATCCTTTAAAATAGTCTCTCCTTGCCACTGTCCAGAGTTTGCTTTTTAAAAAATATATAATTTATTGATTTTTTTACAGAGAGGAAGGGAGAGGGATAGAAAGTTAGAAACATCGATCAGCTGTCTCCTGCACACCCCGTACTGGGGATGTGCCTGCAACCAAGGTACATGCCCTTGACAGGAATAGAACCTGGGACCCTTGAGTCCGCAGGCTGATGCTCTATCCACTGAGCCAAACCAGTCAGGGCCAGAATTTGCTTTTATTTGACATGACTCTCTGACAAGGATTTGTCTTTACGTAAGCATATTCATACCTTCTGAGTATTGAATAAAGTTCTCAGGAGACTCAATGACTGATGGCATAAATTCTAATAATTTATTTCCTGAATTCAGAGCATTGATCCATTTACCTCTAAGACTGATGAGTTTACTAGTACCTCTAGTTTACTTTGAGTGTAGGTGGGTTTATCCGCAGGTCTGGAGATTCCTTGTTTGTCTTATGCCTTTTTCTTCCGTCCCTCTGATGTATTGTAAAGTCACAGTCCATGGGCCTTGGGAGGCTGGGGAGACAATGTCTGGTTTTCAGGTTCTTGCTTGGACTCCCCAGATGAGGGGCTACAGGCTCTTCCTCCTCTACCCTAACGCCTCCTAGAGTCTCAGGCTCTGCCCCTTCAATGCATCACTTACACCAGTGTTCCTCAATCAGTGGCAATTTTGCTCCACAGAGGACCTTTGGCAATGCTGGGAGACATGTTTGGTTGTCATAATTGGGGGAGTGGTAACTGGCATCTAGTGGGTAGGAACCAGGAGTGCTGCTAAACATCCCACAATGTGCAGGACAATGCTCTGCAACAAAGAATCATCCAGCCCCAAATGTCAATAGTGTCAAGGTTGAGAAATGCTGATTTACATGAATATGACTGTTCCTAACAAATTTAATCAAAGACCATGTAATTATTCAAAACCTGACAGTGGGTCAGCAAAACCTATCTAAGGGATATATCTATCTTCCTCCAATTACACTGTGGCTATTTTTCCTTTGAGGTCTTGGAGAAAAAAGGATGAAAGCTTTGACAACAAAAATTTATTGATTTGTTTGCAACATTCAGTACAACACATATAACTTCATCACATGGTTACAATCCAATACTTGTGCTTTGTAGGATACGTAAACATTCATTAGAGCACAACAAAAGTACACACAGTATTCTGAGATTGTTTTAAAAATAAATAGATCCTTTTTCATTTAATAGCACAGAGAATTTGCAGCTTGAGATGATGAATAAATTTTAAAATTTGACATTTGATTAATGTGTCAAATTCCATGAATAACCTAGATTTGGACTACTTATACAATAAATGCCTAACGAGTAGTGGGATGGATTTGTGGGGTGGATGGTGGGAAGGGAAGTGTGGCTTACAATGAAACTTTCTTGACATCTCAACACGTGGATGACACATCAGGCCAGTATTACTGGGGCCTTTCCTGGTGTGGGGCCTTGTTCCCATTTAAAATTACTTCACCATCTCTAAAAATAGTGTAAAAGCATAGTATTTCAGGAAATCTTTAATAAACACCTTCTTTGATCAAGAAAATAAAAACCAGTGTAGCTCATTTAGTTGAAAGGAAAGGAGACTTATTAAGGAGAAGTTAGCTGCTCTCATTTTCCAAAAGACTAAATCTCTGTTATTAAAATACTTAAATGTAATAAGGTTTTCTTTTCCCCAAATTAAACAATAATATCTTTGGATCCAGAAGAGTGTATGGTCCTTACTGGTTATGTCAAATCCTGTATCTGTCAGTATGAATGCCATCTGAGTAGCAGGTCGGCCATAGGGGGACCAGCACATTTATAATGAAACCACTGAGCTCAAGTATCAATATATGTGACTTAAGACAACAATCTCTTCAGAGTTTATGGCTCTCTAAGATAATCCAATATATTATTTAAGATAATCTCTTCACAATTTAAAGTAATAATAAAATGAAAGTTTATATTTTATATAATTTAACACACAAGCAGATTTTATCTCAAAAGACTTTCCTATGTTTGGGGGGGAAAGCTTGCCCTTAGGGTAAGAATTCCGTAACCATGTTAACCACCTAATATAGAGATGGAAACAAGACAATCTTTGATCTCAGCTGAACACCAAGAGTTTTCTGATTAGTTAGGAATCCAGGTATTGTTGAGGAAGTGCGGAATAGTTATCAGTGGGTTGCAGTAAATAAATAAAATCACCTCAGTAGAAAATATTGATGATACTCTTATATTTCTGTTAACACCTACTGATATTAGTCTGAAAATGGAAATTTTTTATAAGTTCTGAAAATTTTCCAGTCATATTTTGTGTTCACCTGGGCTGACACCCCTGTAATCTGCTCAGAAAAGTAACATAAAGGATACCACATAGTTTACAAAATTATTTTGACAAGTGACTTTGTTTCCAGTTGATCTGCATAATTGGTAACATTACACATTTTATCTTATATTATAAAAATATGCAACAGCAGCTTTCTTAGAGATTGGGGCTAGTTATAAGCTTCTTTTTTAAATTTTTTCTTTTTGTTAATCCTCACCCGAGAATATTTTTCCATTGATTCTTAGAGAGAGTGGAAGGGAGGGGGAGAGACAGAAAGAGAGTAACATTGATTGGTTGCCTCCTGCATGCTCCCCAACTGGGATTGAGCCTGCAACCCAGGTATGTGCCCTCAACCAGAATCGAACCTGGGACCCTTCAGTCTGAGGGCCCATGCTCTATCCACTGAGCCAAACTGGCTAGGGTTATAAGCTTTTAATTTCAGTCCTCGTAAACTTTCAGTTTTCCAGCCACTCTAATACAAACTCTTTTGAACTCACCCACAGGTTGTATTGACTTGTACAGATCTATATCTTGCTTTTCCTCTGGTTTATTCCATGGGCAGTAGCCTTGAACAGCAGATTTTTTTATAGCTCTGCTAATGGGATGCAACGTTTGAGAAAGTTTAGAGCATTTAGAACAAATCACTATATTCTAAAGTGGAATAAAGAAAAGGAATACTGTACAGGGCCTAGCTGCCTTATCCCAGTCCCAACAGCCAGTCAAAGAGACTCGGGGCCCCATCTTTCTGCTCCTCGCGCATTCTGCAGTACTGAACAACGGCGTGGAAGATGTCCCCCACTTTCCAGGACTTCTGGTGAACCAGCCGCACGACATCTAGAAACTAGAGTAAAGCATTGAATTAGAACTCACAAAGCACAGCGGATCCTCAAAGTCCACCTCATTCAACCACTCCTCCAAAGCCAACAGTTCTCCAGGCTGCTTTTGAATATCTCTGGTGCCATGATTCTATTTTCCAGAACAGTCTATTTTCATTCTAGACAGTTCAGTTCATTGGAGTGTTCTTTCAACTGAACTGGAATTTTCCTCGCAACAGTTGCCATTCATTGATTGAGAGAGACTAGATGGAAATCTTTCAAGAGTCTGTCTTTTAAACATTTAAATGGTTTCCTCTGGTCTGCTTTTCTCTGGAATACACTTTCTCTGACAGGACTGTATAGTAAGTTCCCCAATTCTTTCTATTTGTGTCACAAATAATCTCTCATTGGATGTATACATTTAGGCCCAGTAAATCAAGTGCTAAATTTTTGCATTGGGTCTTCTACTGGTTCTTCATTCCATCTTTGAAATTCCCCTCTGCCATCATCAAACACGAAGCAAGAGAGGTTGGCTTTTCACTGAAGCAGGAAAAGGAAAGCTTGAGGAAACATCCTAGATTTATCACCTGATTATTGCTACTAGCTTCAATTAACCACAATTTAGAAAGCTTTCGAGTGCAGATAAATTGTGAGCTAAAGTGTTGGAAGATGGGGAAATGGTTATAGATCATTGCCTTCATGATACTTTGGGATGGAGCCCAACCTGAAGACTTTCCAAACTCCTTAGTAAGATACTTTTGTAAAAAAAAGTAACAATTATTAAAAGCCCAAACCTCTAGGACAGTGATGGCGAACCTATGACACACGTGTCAGAGGTGACACGCGAACTCATTTTTTTGGTTGATTTTTCTTTGTTAAATGGCATTTAAATATATAAAATAAATATCAAAAATATAAGTCTTTGTTTTACTATGGTTGCAAATATCAAAAAATTTCTATATGTGACACTGCACCAGAGTTAAGTTAGGGTTTTTCAAAATGCTGAAACGCCGAGCTCAAAAGCTTCGCCATCACTGCTCTAGGAAGTACTTTTACGTAAGTAATCTCATTCAATTCTGTCAACAACCCTATGAAGTAGGCATTGACAGATGAAAAAACCGAGGGCCTGAGAGATGAAAAGTTGGTAGCACAATGCATGGTTTTCTAGCACGCCAGCCCAGTGCAGTTTCTACTCCAGCACCTGGCTACATTTTGGTGGTAGGAGAATACGGCATTGATATTTATTTAGAGTACTTGGAGAAAGGACTGGCTGGGGTTTTATGAAGAAAAATGACCTATTAAGAAGATGAAAGAATATATGCACCCATATGCTCATTGCAGCTTTATTTACAATACCTCGGATCTGGAAACAGCCCTAGAGCCCATCAGTAGATGAGTGGATAAAAAAGCTGTGGTGCATTCACACAATGGAATACTACTGGGTCGTAAAAAAGAAGGAAATCTTACCCTTTGCAACAGCATGGATAGACCTGGAGAGCATTATGCTAGGTGAAGTAAGCCAGTCAGAGAAAGACAATGCCATATGATTTCACTTATATGTGTAATCTACTAACAAACAAAATAGAAACAGACTTATAGATACAGAGAACATATTGACAGCTGTCGGAAGAGAGGGGTTGAGGAGTTGGGGGATAAAGGAGAAAGGATTAAGCAAAAAACAAACAAACAAAAAGCAAAACAAAAACCAAACTTATAGACACAGACAACAGTATAGTGATTGCCAGAGAGAAAGGGGTGGATGTAGAAGAGGGTAAGGAGGGGTGGGGATAGATTGTGAATGAAAGATACTTGACTTTGGGTGTCAAACACACGATACCATATACAAATGGTGAATAATAGAATTGTACACCTGAAACCTATATGATATTATTAACCAGTCATCCTAATAAAGTCAATAAAAATAAAAAGATGAGGATTGTGGTTTAGTTACTATTTCTTCAACATTTCCTTCTAGGATTTTTTGCTCAGCTCTCTTTGTGTTTGCTCAGATTTTTAAGACCAACCAGAAACTGAAATGCTAATTTCTATCTGTCTTTTTCCTTCTCTCCAGCCTGAATTTGTTAATTCATTTCAATTACTGAGAAGTCATCTTCTAAAGAGTTCCTATTAAATTATGTTTCTTCTTGCAGCTGCGATGGGACCAACTATTTGCACAGTTATAGAAATCAGTGCTTTATTGTGCTCACTTGCCTTGTGTTGGCTTAATCAGAATAAAGCAATTTTCTAGGCTGGAAAATGAAATACTTAACTTTCAATGCATGGAAACATAAACATTATCTCAAAGAGTTTCAGGATAACATAAAAAGGGAGACAGATGGGAGGCCAATGGCAACTATGTTATAGATAGAAATCCCTCAGGGAAGAATAGCATCTTAGCCATCTTTTAATATCTTGTGTCTGTACTTAATAGATACTCAGTAAATATTTGCTGATTGACAGGAGGTATGAGTGTTCAAATGAAGTCAAACACTTTCAAAATGATCAAGAAGACTATTAGGAATATGGAGTGGCATTCAGAATCATTACAGGTGAACCTTGTCTAAGTATTTATTCTTGAGTTTTATGTAATGTGTTTGCACAGATATAATTAAAAATAAACATGCATATCTTGGGGCTGCTTACTCAATAGTTTTATATTGATAGAAAACACATAAAAATGATTGGAGGCCATGGATCTAGGCAAAGGCTGAAGAGAGCCTAGATTGAGGCAAAAGTAGTGGGCAAGGAGCAAAATAAAAGCTGGTCATGGTGCATGCCTCCTATGGCCCAGCGACCGAGAGCTAGCATTGTGGGGGTGGATACCCAGAACCTCTCTTCACTGTTAAACCTTTCCCAGAAGGCTCTCTGCCACAGACCTTTCTAGAAGCCAAATTCCAGCTTCTTGCCATATATTTGGGACCTGCTAAAGGAGGGTTTCTCCATGTGGTGATGACTACAGGATGATGCTGACTGACCCAAAGTTGTCAAAATGCTCCACTAGCAAGGCTACTGTGTCAGTAATGTATAGAATTGTCACAGGCTAGAATCTGTCTCATGATTTCTAAATCTAGGTCAATATCCCAATAATACAGCTTTCATAAAGAATCTGGTCCCACTAAATATATCCTGCTGGGAGGCAGTGATGACTTAATCCCAGACATCAAGACCTTGAAACATCTGCAGGGCTGATGAGCAGGAAGGCCTTACACTTTCTTTTCTTCCTTCACTTACAAAGCTTCTAGCTAAAAATGAAACTGTTTTGGTGAAGAAGCCAGAAAAGGACATTTCCAGCTCATTACCATAGGCTTTTAAAAGTAGCAGCTGGTCCTAGATATTTTATTGTGCCTGTCAATGTTATTGCCTTGGTAACTTCATAATCAGTTTTCATAGGTCAAGGATCTGGGCTTTTCTTTCCAATTAATTGAAAAAATAAAAGTCAAAATTGTTCTTTTCCTGCCATTTCAGAATCATTAATAATTAGATTCCCTTCATTTATGCCATAGCTGGCATTTCTTGAGCAAATGTGTTTTCTTAGGAAACTAGAAGAATTTACATCCTGTGATGGTATGTTATTGGTAGATGCATTTGAAGAAAAGTATCACATGGCAGGCGGTTTTTATATTCTCAGGTGCATTTACTAAATTAGAATGTTTACCAAATCATATGGTGGAATCTATGGGAGCTGTTGCAAACTGTGTTAGGTTGCTTCTTTGGAAACATTCAACATAGACTTCTGAAAGCAGCTACCTTCTTTGGCTCTAAGTCAGAATTCCATTACATTAAGCACAAGTGAGCTGGTCTTCACCTTGCTCCTGCAATTATGGCCTGTACAGCTGTGGTTCTCAGCCTTCACTGCACCCTCAGGGACCATCAGGGACCTTTGGAAAACCCCAATGCCTGGGTTTCATCCCAAGAGGAGATTCTGATTTCACTGGGCAGAGCATGGGGACCTCTACAAGCTCCCCAGGTGCTTCTAGCACACACTGAGTTTGAGAACCATGACTAAAGGATTCAGTTCAAGAACATTTCTTATATTTATAAGCCAAGAGACATTATCTATTATGGACTGAGGGTATCCATATGTTGAAACCCTAACCCCCCAGTGTGATAGTATTGGGAGGTGGGGCCTTAGGGACATAAATAGGTTTAGATAAGGTCTTAGGAGGATGGGACTCCCATGGTAGGATTCATGCCCTTATAAGATGAGGAGGAGACGCCAGAGCCTTCTCTCTCTGCTGTGGGAGGACATAGCTAGGAAGAGGGTCCTCCCCAGCAACTGAATCTGCTGGTACCTTGAACTTGGACTTCCCAGCCTCCAAACTGTGAGAAATAAAAGTCTCTTATCTAAGCCACTCAGTCTATGGTATTTTAAAGTAGTCCAAGCAGACTAAGGCAGTATCTAATTCTTCCTTGTTTTCCCTTCCTTTGCTGTGTACTTCTTCAAAACTGAAACTTTAAGGCAGTGGTTCTCAACCTTTCTAATGCCACGACCCTTTAATACAGTTCCTCATGTTGTGGTGACCCCCAATTTCATTGTTACAAATTGAACATAATTAAAGCATAGTGATTAATCACAAAAACAATATGTAATTATATATGTGTTTTCCGATGGTCTTAGTCGACCTGTGAAAGGGTCGTTCGACCCGCAAAGGGTCGCAACCCACAGGTTGAGAACCGCTGCCCTAAGGCAACCAATGAGGGGAAGGGTAGGGAGGATGAAGTGATATAGCACACGGGTTGAGAACCGCTGCTTTAAGGGGTAGTGTTTTTGAGAAATCAGTCAATATCATTTTCACAAGGCTGGAGGATAAAGTTGGAAATACCATAAAGGAGATATGTTAGATAAATTAATTTATCTAAAAAAAGTCAAAATTCACACAAATAGGGACTAAGCTTCATTGATATCCACACACAGAACACGGTACCTTCTCAATCCTGTTTTCCTGAGATTTCTTAAAGTAGATGGTCGGGATCCCGAGCTCGGAGGCGGCGATCCACTGCAGAGTGGCGCGAAGCTCCGCGTCAGGACACTCTGGCTCCAGGTCGAAGTTGATCACCAGCATGCTCCCCTGGCGGCTGGCGGCTCCCACAGGTGCTCCGGAGGCACATTCTAACACAGACAACCACACAGCCTTATTTCACTTTCCACAGGGAGATCGCGGGCCAATTGTGTGTCAAAATTATGGGAGCACGGCTTACCCTCTCTGTTTTCTGACTGTCCTTTAAGAATCTCCTTTTCTTCTATTAATTCACTTTGGAAGAAAACAACAGTATATGATTGGTAATGGTTAGGAAGAGTAAGCTGTGCATGGAAGATGAGGCGATGGGTTTTACTGATCTAAAAGCTTCTGAAGTTTTATTCTGTGTTTATCATTTTCATAGACTGAAGTGATACTAGAAAAGTACTAATTGTGTCTATTATGTAGGACTATTGAGTCTTCAATAAATACCCTGCCCCTAAAAAACGAAAAGGCCAGAGAAACTGCATGGTTCTAGTGGGGAAAATTAGTCTGGGAGACTCTGAGAGAGGCATCCTCCATTAACCTTCAGAGGCTCGAACAGTCCAGGAGAGATGATGTTAACTAGTTCTGATAGAAGGATTTATGTCTTCTGTATTTTACCTGTCATTTAAAGCATCACATGCCTCTATCTTGATACAATGATTTTTTTTCTACATTATGATACCAACATAAATTTGCATTTTAGTCTAGGAAAATATTTTTTTCTACATGACTATAGTTTTTTAATCTGAAATAAGGAAAAAAATAATCAATGAACTGTAGAACTTAAATTGTATAAAATATCTCAATTAGTTGACACTTTTCCTTTTTAGCAGGAGAGTGTAGTAAGCTGGAGGTGATTTAGAATTAAAGATTCATGACTGAAGTGAGTATTTCATTATAGACATTAAATATTTGAGGTGTTTTTGTATAGTGAGTACTTATTATGGAGCCCTGACTATAGTGCTTCCAAAATGAGAACATATGGCCCAATAGTTAAAAAGGAATTAACCATTTTTGGGAAGCCCATGATTGTCCTACATTTTTTTTTCCTGTCTTAAATATGTTTTCTTTTTATGAGAGAAGATTCCCTCTTACATTTTATGTTATTGCTAAGATCTGGCTGATAAATTTCATTTTATTCCTAAAGTTGAGAGATCCTTGTTGTTCTTACATTCACACCTAATAATTACATAGAAGGATGGTCAATTTCCTCAGGGTCTAGATTTCTGCCAGATCTCTATGTGAGTGACATTAAGTGAAATGACAGATGGTAGGTACAGTTTCTGCTCTTACAGAGCTGAATGATGCTGCTATGGGCGGTGGTGGTCTTGGTTTTCCCTGAATTCATACAGTCTGTGGGATTGTAGGCTCATACCACAGAGAAAGATAGCTAAACAAATATTTCCTGAAAAAGGAAAAGAAATTTGTCCTTTTATTTGTTTTGGTTTTTGGTTCTCCCTTTAGAAAACAAACCCAAGATAATATGTATGCTCATCTCTTCTCATGAATCATGGCCTTGGGGAACAAGAGAGAATGAATGGAACTTTCAGTCACTAAGGAGTACTCCCACAGGCAGGATACTTGATTAGATCGTAAAGCAAAAATGATTTAGCTATACGGAGTAGTTGATAAAATAGCTCAGATGAGAGAGCATTTTTTTTCCTATACTTTATTTACATTTTTTGGAAATTTCAGAAATATTCAAATAACAAGCTAAGTCATCATGATAAAAATAGATTGTAACTCATTTAATTTTCCAGAAGCATCACAATTCAGGATGTAGTTCTGACTTCATGTTGCTCTCCTTATATTCTCTTAGTGCTTTTCCTCCTTGCTCTTTCAGAAGGTCCTATGGTGTAGGGGGCAGAGTTACTGTGCGGGAATGACACATCTTCATCATGGCACCATTTGGTGTTAGGCAAAACATTTAGTACTGACAATCCCTGGTGTCTACAAGTAAAGGAAAAGCCATCACACTTGGTTGGCATCACATGTTGGCTGGCATGGTGCCATTTAAATGGAATTTTTGCTTCTCGGTGTCCAGTTAGGTGCAGTGACATATACTTCTGACTGTATGGATGAGCTTTATTTGAAATGATTATATTACAGAGGACAGATTTGAAATCTAGAAAGGCGGTGATGGTAGGCTAGGGCTATTCTAGGCTTGAGTTCTTGCTCCAGTGACATGGAACCACACATGCCTGGGAACCACGGCAGTACAGACATCATGAAGTCGGTGGTTGGGCACGACCTGAATGATCACAATGGATTGCCAGATGGAATTGGAGTGGCGGTCTCACAATCATTGCACCTCCATGGCTACTTACTTAATCATGGGAGAAGATGGCATGCTTTCCTGATAAATGTCCAGGTCCATAATGCCAAGACTGCTAGTGGCACTACTGTTGCCATTGCTGACAAAGCAAAAGTTTACATATTAATGCCTGTCTCCACCACCTGGCCACACCTCTGACACCGATCATCTACCGTTCTCACGGGTCCTCCCTTTAGTGCTCAGGAGAATATTGCTTTGTGTCTCCAGGACTCCTAAATTGATATTTATTTCTGACCAAATTAGGGGACACATAACTAAAGACATTTTTGGCTCAAGCCAACCACCATCGATGTTTTCTAATTTCTGCAGTGGTGTTGCATGGGGTAGATCATACTTAGTAGGTGACAATCAGCATGACTTTTTTCTTCCTCATTCTAGTTATAGTGGAGATGTTTATCTATTAGCAAAAGACCCATAGAGGCTAATATGCTTCTGAGAATGCAGTTTGGGGGAGTTACTGGAATGCTGATCTGCCTGCTTTTGACAGTGGGCACATATTCAGGGGACTTTTCTGAGGGACATTCCACAGGATGTGCACTTGGCTCATTTTTTATTTTATTTTGGGGAACTGCAGAATGCACACGTACAAAGTTGAGGAATGCCAAGTTTTATAGCTCATTTATCTTAAAATCTTTGAGAAGCAGCAACATCTGCTACCTTATGAATCATGGAGGAGGGATCATGTATTGCATCATTGTCATAGGTTGCACAATCAACATATGGTCAAGTTACTAACCTGAAACTTATTTACTGAAACAGTAGAGTTGAGCTAATTTTTAGGTTCTGTCTGTACTTTCAAAGGAGAATGAATCCAATTTTACCAAACCCACTACGTTTCCTCACACCTTTTCTATTGTCCAATGACATCTCTTCCAAGTAAGGATTCCAAAGGGTGAGAGCTGGTGTATTGCAAAGGGACAGACTTCCCTGGGGAGCACCATGAGTAACCAACTATACTCCCTCCATTTCAAATTCCTGTCTTGGGTTTTGCCTGGGGTACTGAATATATTCACTGATTGAAATCTGATGACTCGGATCTTACACTGAAAGTAATTAATCCTATCAATGTCTGCTACGTCCAAAGATCAAATTCTCTCTCTCTCTCTCTTTTTTATTTCTACCTTGTTTTTTGAATTTTGGACAAATTCCTCAACATCCAGAAATTTTCCTAAGACTGGCAGACTGAACTACCAGAAATAAAACTTTCAAGGATCAAGACACCCAGATATATCTGAATCCCCATATCAACTGGACTCTGGAGAGTCTCCAGTATCAAACAAGACTTCAGGCTGAAACATGGAGATTCTTTTCATTTGTTTTTTATCTCATAGAGGGATAGTTTTTAGTTTATATCTGCTGACTGGCTGGAATCTAATCAGATTTGACCTCTTATTAGATCCTCTCTAGTTTTTCCAGAGCAACAATAGAGGGCAGGGCAGAGAAAGCGGAGGAACAGTCAGGCCAAACAACACAACAGTGTGGAAACACTTGCCTCATGTAAACCCAGCCTGGGTTGCATCTGAAATACAAATGAACCAGAAAGAAAGTATCAAACATACCAGGTGTAATAGCAGCTCCTATTAAGAAATTCACAGTTGTCATCACTGAATACATTAGCTGGGGCTTGCAGCTTATTCTTAACCTTGGCCAAGGTAATTGAAGCCATAATTGCATATTAAGATAACCCTCAGCACAAATCATGATAGGCAGGCAACCTGATCCAGGGGGAACTTTCTGTTTTTGCACACTCTACTGGGACCCTTTGCAGAGAACCATTTAAAATGCATTTCTGAAATATGTGTGGAGACCTGTTTCCCTGGGAAGTCAAGCGAAGAGCAGGTACCTCATGGATCGCTCACTGAACTGCAGAAAGCTACTTGTGTCGTCTGGGTTGTCCTCCTCGTTGGCAAGCTGAGACCAGCTGTCTGTGCTCTCTCCACTGCTGACGGGAGGGTTGGGAACCTCATCCGGGGCTCTGCCTTCTGTCGGGACTTCAGCCTCTGGTACGTTGCTGGCATCAAGGCTGTCACTGTATAGATGGTAGAATATTATTACCAAGAGTGGGGGGGGGGAAAGAGTGGGAGCATAGACTGAACTTTTCACAGGACCTCGCTGGCTGCTGTTGAGCATGAATCTCTGCCATCCTGAGCAGGATGTTCTTGCACACAGGTGTGGTCTTTCTTTTAGGTCAATACTTCTACTTCTGCTGGTGCCCTAGGTCCCATTTTGTCTTTTCAGGATAACTCCCCATCAGCTTTTCCCACTTCTTAATCTGATCTCTTTCTTTGAACTCCCTCCATTCATTTCAGAAACGCCTGTAAGCACCCTGGTGTGCATATATAAGAATTATTTAGGGGCAGTGGTATTTGAAACGGAGATACCCAGAGCATCCTCCCCCGAGTTATGATTCACTGTTTCTGCAGAGAGGCCCAGAAAGCTGTATTATAAACAACCACCCCTGGTGATTCTAATGCAAGTGGTAGGTGGACCATGCTGGGAAAATTACCCACCCCAATATTTGATGGGGCTTTCTCTGCTGGAATCCTTTGAAACTTGGGCTTCAATCTCCAGAGATTTATTTTTGCCTTTGCTAAGGTTTTATATGTAGTGCTATTAACCTGTGATTGCTTTAAGGTAAGTTACCAGTTTGGGGGTTCCCTGGACCGCCTACATGGTACAAATTAGACCTCTAAACATGCATTAGGACAAGCTGTGGTTATAAATTCTTAGGGGATTTTTTTCACCCTCTATCCAGAGCCCTAATCCTGAAATACAGATTTTATTTTTTAAATCATCTCCCTTTGCTTGTTGGTGATTCTTTTTCCTAAATTTACATTGGAGATAACTTCAAAATATGAAGGTTGGTGTCAGTTCTAAGTCTTAACCATTCACCATTTGCTGGAACCGCAGTATAATTTCCCACTTTCCTTTAGCCTTTAGAAAATAAACTCGTATATTACTGAAACTGACAAATGCTTCAGGAGCAGGTGCAGAATCAGCTTTAACTCACCACTTTTGTTTCCAGATCCTTTCATTTTCTGCCCCTGAGATGATGGTGATGATGATCATTATTAATAATAATGTTAAATTCTGTCTTGTATTTAAAAGGATGTTTATTATATTAATCCAGAATTTATAATTGATTCAGAGTGGGAGAAGTTTTCAAGCTAGCTTGAAAATCAAGTCTCACTTCATATGTCTTGCCCCTTATCTACCTTTTAGGTCTCATCTCAAATGCCAGCAGCCACTTTGACAAATTAGTTATTCTCTATCACACTACTCTTTATTTTTTGTCTTGTCACACTCTATAATAATTTACTTTATAAAGAGATTTTTCATGTATGTTGTTTGTCTCTCCCACTGTTGTGAAAGAGCCATGGGCACAGGCACCAAATCTCTATATTCTCCTGCATTTGAAGCCCCAAGGATAGTGCACATTAATGGGTATCAACTATTTGTTGGATGAATACTATTTTTCTTGAAACAAATATAAATGAATGCACAACATAAAATATGTTTCTAAAAAAGTCAGATGATGTTGGTGAGGGCAACATGTGATGTTCAGAATCTTAGTTTGGTGTTTATACTTGTGGTCCCAAACTATCAAAAAGTTAGATACTATTCTTTAATGATCTCAGATAGGGTGGTTGAGTTAAGCACACATTGCTGCCCAGTAATAGAATAATATTTTTTCCAGAAATCAAGAACTGGAATACCTCACGTTATTTAAACTCTTTCTAATCAAAGTATAATTCAGGTATCTGGACAGATGTGGTGGCCTAAAATATAAGTATTTCTATTTGGACATGACTTCCATAATATATTCTGAAGTGGTTAGTTACTCTTTTATAAAATAAAAAAGGAAGTGATTTTTATTTCAGTATGTTGAGATTTTATGAAGTTTTTAGTAAGAATTATGAAAATGTCCCCCAGAGAGTAGCCTAAAAATATCTCCAGGACATGACACCTCCCCACCTCTAAACAGAATTCAGAGGGAATTGAATTCTGTGTTTAGCTATTTTGACACATCAAATTTCATGATAACAAATCCTAGATTAGAAAATGTGATCTAAATATGACTAATTTCTCCTCTTTCAAATCCTAGGAAGTTCCTTTTTAATAAAATCCTCATACTATTCATTTGGGAAAATAATCTCCTGGAATTAAGGCAACCCTATACCCCAACCCAAACAACAATAACAAACATAAAGCAAACATTTATTGAGTTGTAGGCACTTAAGAATCCTCTTATGAAATTATTATATTCCCATTTAAAGACAAGTAAACTGAAGTAGAGAGATGAAGGCACTTGCCCAAGGTGACATGGTTAAAGGTTAGTTAGTGGAGTTCATGTTCTATTATTTATATTGCTCCACAAAGAAAAAATATATTTAACATTTAGTAGTCCTTACATTTTGGGAGCAGACCCGTCTCTTGAATTTCTAAGGCTGATGATTTCACATTTCCCCCCCTTTCATTATTGGAAAACAAAATCAGAAATCCACATCACGAGCTGAGAGGATTTGTGCTTGGGTCATGTGTGTGAGTCATTATATGGAACACAAAGCTAAATCAGTTGGAGGCTTTAATCATATGCTTTTCCAAAATTTCTGCAAGCCTCAAGGTTGTAGCTATTTTAAGCACAATATTAGTGACATTCAAGTAAAAATTGTATAATGAATTTTATTTCACTGTAGTGACAATCACTATTTGATTTGAACCTACAACCATAAATCTTGTTAAACTAGTTCATGAATGTTCCTTAACTAGGTCACCTTTTTGACTAAAAAATCTTAGCTGGTTTATGATGCTGTGTTTAGGATACTTTAAATCAAGTGTTCTCCATTTCCTGCTATCTCAAGTTAAAGTAATTTTAAAGAATTACACATTGGTTCTTGTATATCTTTACCTCTTTGATCACTTTTAAAAATTTGTAATTCACCATACTTCCTAAAGGTGAATACTATGGTAAGTATGGTGCTTCTATAAAACTTTGATGAATATTTTCTATAGCTGGAGAATTACTGATATGTAAGAACTTGTCTTCTTGGTCATCTTAGCCTATTCTTCATTTGGTTTATATTTGTGTTCTTTTGCTTGTATATTTTCATGCTTTCTTTTCTTCAATTTCTTTCAGGATTTAATTCAATTGGAAAGCTAAGTTCTTAGCACTGAGGGATTGAGAATGAAATATTCATATGCATCTGAACCACACACCACCCACACCTTGTAATGATACCTTATAATGATGGGGAACATCAGCACCTAAAGATGAAGCCCTTTAGCTTCGCTGATGAGGGTGGGAAAGTACTGGGGACATTTGAGGGCTGATGAAATGTGATGAAGGCTGCGTTCAACTTGTTTATTGTAACTAACCACTTAAAAATCACAGTTTCTTTGTGCAATGGCACATGTCCCTGAAGAGCTATGCAGGCCATTTCTCCTCCTATGTTTTCCATAGATAGAGCTTAATTTTTGTTTTCTTCTGTGTTTTTTTTTTAACTTTAACTATAGACCAAAAATTATAAATGATACAATGGTCTCATATTTAAGAATCTTATGAATTTTCTGTGAAAAATGGGAGCTGTAAAAATAACTGACAGTTTGTTAAGCAGCCTAAGAGAAATAATTACTTTGCCTCAAATTCAAAATGCATTGTCACCTACATTACAATTTTTCTGAAAAAGAAATTGAAATAACAATACTCTAGAGTTGTTTTGCCTCTAATGCTGCCACAATTATACCATGCATCTGAAGGGCCAGCACTTGCAGGACACGGTGACCTTGCAGAGATTTTCATAACAAGGCAAGAAAGGAAAACTTGAAAGGAGAGGCCTTAGAGAAAAATGATATCAAAATATTTAATGTCATTTTACAATATTAAAGTTTATTTAAATTTAAAATTTTCAAGTAGATTAGTTGGCATATTTTTTCTTTTGCTTGAAAATTGCCATGCATGAATTTTTTAAAGTAGCATACTATGGGCAATTAATTTTAATGGGGAGAACAATACCCTACCTCAGGGGTCCTCAAACTATGGCCCGTGGGCCACATGCAAATACAAATATTGTATTTGTTCCCGTTTTGTTTTTTTACTTCAAAATAAGATATGTGCAGTGTGCATAGGAATTTGTTCATAGTTTTTTTTTTAAACTATAGTCCGGCCCTCCAAGGGTCTGAGGGACAGTGAACTGGCCCCCTGTTTAAAAAGTTTGAGGACCCCTGCCTAGCTCCTCTATTATGTAAATGAATCTCATTTGTTTTAGAAATTAAAAAAAATACTTCCATCTTTCCATTATTATAAGTTCTTCTTAACCCAAGAAAGCCATTTATTGCCTCAGACATTCAGTTCTTACATCAATAAAATCCCTAAGATTTAGAATAAATATGAATTAAGATGCAAACTCCAGTCCCATGCACTCTTATGGAGTCTCACAGATCATTCACTCACCCGTAGTTTTGGCAGTTTTTCTTCTCCGTGTCTCTACCCCTCACCACATCTGGGACTTTCTCATCGTCTTTCAAATGCTCCTCTGCTCCTTCCAGGGGGCCACACTTGGAAAGGTTGTGTTCAGGTTCACCAGCACACTCTTCTCTCTGATCTGTTTCAATCTGAATCAAAGGCACTTCCCTTGAACAAAGTGATTGCCTGGTGTGGTTTATAGAGACACCATCATGGCACAAGGAACTTTCCTTTTTAGAATTGAAACTAAGAGAAGCAGCTTTGCTTGGAGAGGACACTGGGGGATGTTGGCTTTCGGTAACAGAGTCTTTCCTCTGGTAATCAATAGACTCCTGGACAAGAAGAATTGGCCCACTTTGCACTCTGCTCGAAGCTAACCTGTTTGCACACTTGTCCACTTGCAAGGAAGGGCCACCAGAAACAGGCTCAGCATCAGCCTGGGCATCATCCACTATAATTTTGTTCTTCCGCATGAGGGCCTCGATTGAGTTTGCCCATGTCTCATGAATTAACATGGCTGTGATCTGGTCAGTTCCACCTCTGCGATACAAGCAAGAATCAGATTTGCAGAGCCCCGTTGAGGAAGCACTGCTGACTGGCTGTACGCTCAGGAAATCTCGCTGGTTGTTTTGAGCAAAGCCATCTAAGGAGTTGGCTTTGAATGGCACATTCACTGTCAGCCTGGCGCCCAGGGATCTGCCATCTGGCATAGACGACTGTCTGTAATACAGTGGGGATCGCAGAGAAGGTGACAATAAACCAGCCGTCCAATCCTGGCTGCTGCGTCTGGAGAAGGCGTTCTCTTTGCTTTCTCTTTCAATGTCCCTCAGCATGTACCTGTAGAACTCCTCAGTGATGCTCTCTGTGCTGGACTGCTTAGAGGGACAGCTTGACCTCACACTGAGGTGGTCATTTTTCCGGCACACCTGCTGCATAGCTGAGTTCACAATGCTGCTGGCATTCTTGCCTGCATAGTAATCCAGCAGCAACTCAAATCCTCTTCCTTCATTCTCCATCTGATTCACCATGAACCTGGAAAACTCATCGGTGATGCTCTCACAGCTCGATTGCTTGGAGACAGAGCTGGCCCTGCTCACTGGCTGACTTAGGGTGCTCATTAAACCCAGGCTGTTGACATAGGCCCTGGCATTAGAGTCCTCCTCGGCAATGCTTTCACAGCTGGAGGCCTTCAGCCGGTTCCACCTGTCTCCACTCTGTAACCGATTCCGGGGAAAGCTCTGGGCTTGCCAGACGCCGTCCACCATGGTAAACTCTGTCAGGTTCATGATCTTGGCTGCTACTTCGTTTGCAAAGACACTGACAGAATCTTGGGTGTCCTCAAGGTTCATTGACTCGTCCACAACCCTGTTCATCAGCTTCTCTTTAAGCTCCGGGTGCTCATCTGTTTTCCTCTTGATCTCACTGAGCCGTGGTGGCTTGTGTTTCCTCACAGCGGCCCCACTGGCCTGACTCTCCTTCCTCTTCAAAGATCGGCAGGTTAGGTTCGGGGTAACCAGAAACTCGGTCCCTCTTTTCCACGCGCAAAACCAGGGTTGTTTTCCCTTTGAGTTGTCAAGGCAAATTGCTGCGATTTCAGTTGCCATGGAGACAATGGTCTCTGCTAATTCTTCGGCAAAGTCTGTAATGCTGTATACCTCTGTGTGTTTTGCCTGCAGCATGGACTGAGCAGGAAGCAGCAAGTCACTCCCTAACAAAGACAGATTAACTTGAACTTCATTGTTTAGAAGTGAAGCACAATTGTACTTCTCTTGGATGTTGGGACTGCAGCTGTCCTCAGCATCCTGGGAACCGCTGCTGCATTTGGTGGCTACCCGTGTCCTTTCTCCCTCTGAAGAGGCTCTGCATTCATTCTCATTGTGACTCAGTGTCTCATATGGGTTTATTATATCCTTTCCCATGGTTCCTTTCAGATAGATTTCCTTGGAGAATATTTTAGCAGTTGAAGAACCAGGCATTCTGGGACTATAAGACAATTCAGATTGCAGCATGGGGTTCTGGAAGAGGCCTGGCTTTGCTGAACCCTTGCTGTCTTGCTTTGGAGGCATGTCCTCTACAAGGTCATTGATAACAAGACTAGTGCTACGTGGATGAATATGTGGATGGCTGCTGGAGTATTCAGTGGCTTTAGTCCATGCTTGACTAGCAGCCTGATCAGGTGGCTGGTTGCCTAGTTCTGTTTCCCTCCATCCAATGGTTTCCTTAGAAAGGAGAGTGGGGCATTCACCATGCTGTACAATATGGCTCATCTTCTTGAGTGTGAAGCATATCACATTGAAGAGCAGTTGATTGATACTTTCCATTAAGATGTCCAGAGTTTCAGATGAATGCGTGCCTTTGGGGTCGATTCTTTTACTTTGCTGGGGAATTTCATCAATGCAGTGCTTCAGAATCATATTGGACAGAGCATGTGCCAGTTCATTTCCAAGCGCATTTTCTGAGCACAAGATCTGAGGCTTGGAAGCCGTTTCCATAATTCTTCTGTGCATTGATTCCATGAGGTCTCCAATGCTGCTGTAGGCATCAGGCCTTATTAAAACCAGAGCGGCCTCTTTGAACAATGCCTCTGCAATGGCCTCATTTCCCAGCGCCATGCCCCTCCCTGTTGCTAAATTAAAAAGTGGAGGAATTGCTGCAGAAGACACAGCTGCAGACAAGACTCCACTTGAAGCTTCAGGGCACTTCACCTGTCCTGCTTCAGCCAGGCCACAGACAGCGACGGCACTGGCCACCTGAGTCATGCCACACAAAGCAGATGGAAACGAGTATTCGCTGATGGAAGGTTCCTTGAGTACTTGGGATGCTTGAGTGTGCAGTAGGTCGTTGCCACCTGGTGGATGGTTGGAAATAAGGGATTCTTGCTCCATTTTCAGTCTTTCTGTGGCCTGTGGACTGGAAATAGTTCCAATCACGGTGGCTGCACAAGCTAACGCTACCTCTAGAGCGCTCTGGGGGTGTCTGCTGGCATTCTCTCCAGAGGGGCCACCTGAGTTTTCAAAAGAGACTTCCATCTCAGGCCACGTAGAGATGTCAGGCTCAGGGGCAGCATTACTGCCATCGGGACTCTGAACAATGACGATTTTGGGGAGCTCATTCCATGACTGAGGGACCACGATATCTTTTGTGGAACAGCTACGCGGGAGCAGAGCACTTCCTACGGAGACACTGACTGCAGTTTCCTGGGGTAGTGTAGGCTGAGACTGAGATAATCTAATAAATGCATCTTGCAGCACAGATTCTGCTAAATTTGTAGCATACTCGCCGGTTGTGGCTTCTCCATCTTGTATGGGAAGAAGAGAATTTGTTCCATCTTCATGGTCTCCTGGGTCTAACTTGTGGTCATGCTCCATGACAGTGCCATGGGCAGAAGGTCCATCTTTCTTAACCACCTTGGAGAAATAAGCATTGCCTGGAATACAGAGTGCCTGCAATTTTTCCACTTGATCTTTAAAATTTTCTGAATAATAGTAATTGGTGGCTGTCGTCTCTTTCCCCGCAGTTTCACCTTTCCACCCTGATAGCTTAGCTGATGGCTCTAGACTCTGCAAAGTTGTGTCTTCTGCTACTTTTCCCAGAGATGTTTCTGTTTTAATCAACGACATGTGGTATTTGCTAATGTATTTGTCTTCCAAAGTATAAAGTGACTTTTCCTTATTGTAATCCCAGTCCTCCTGAGTGATTTCCTTCAGCTTTTTACTTTCCATAACATTGGCTGAAACATTTATATTCTCATAACCTAGTGAAGAGAAAATGAAGAGCACAATTACTTTTTGAATAGCAGGTTCTCGTGAGCCTAAAATAATTATTTTCTAAAAATGCTTTAAAGCATCAGGTATCCTCCCCACATCCCCAAATAGCATTTGAATGTTTCTTCAAAAAAATGTTTCTTCAAGAAAAATGAATCTGAAAAGGCTTCTGTGCTTCATTATGGAATGCTGCCCAACAAAATGGGTGTCAGTGCAGAAAAGAAGTGCAAGCATTATAGCAGAAGAAGAAGGCTTTTGGGAACTGACAACTAGTCACCATCCTTCAGGGGAAAAGTAAGACCCAAACTGCATTTATAACTTCCAAGTGAGTAAAGAGGGAAGAGAGAGGATGTTTACAGCAGCCTCAATAGTGAGTGTTGTTACAAAAATGTGCTCTGACGTTTTCATAGGATTTGCCCCAGGGTCAGTGACAACAATATCTGGGGTATCCCTTCCTAAGGCTAAGAGTTGGGGAGGGAGTCCATTGTTCACTGACCTCCACTAATAAGTCAATAGAAAGAGTGAATAAATGAGTACTAAGCACTTTTTTGGGTTATTTACTTCTGTCTTCACCATTCGCTCTTTCTAGTTCTTGATTTAATAATCTTGTGTTGTTTTGTACAGTAACATGCTGTACAGGCTTGTAGCCTAGGAACAATAGACTATATGGTACAGCGTAGGTGTGTAGTTGGCTATAACATCTAAGTTTGTATAAGTGCACTATGATGTTAGCCCAACAATGAATTTGACTAACAATGCATTTTCCAGAATGCATCCCCCTCGTTAAACAGCACACGACAACCTCATATCATACTTTTAAATATATTAGTGCTACAGGAACTACTATACTCCCAAGTTATAGATAAGGGCTCAGAAGACTAAACAAAAACTAGATAACTGGCCCCAGGTTTCACAGCTTCAAAGAGACTGTGTTAGGATTCAGGCCAGTCCAGCTCAGCTTCAACAAGTAAGTGGCTTTGATGGAAGACTTAGGGAGGTTAACTTTCCTCCCAGTGATAGTCTCCATCTCTTGGCAGTCAGGAGGATTTCCCTTTGAAACACACACATTTTCATCAGGACACCTAAGGCATCTTTAGAGAGAATGGAGCCATCTAACCATTAAATCTAAGTGCCTCAGTCAGCATCTTCACCAGTTTTCTCATCCTCTTTTCCTCCCAAACTTAGTGAAGATTGGGATGTGTCATCCGAACTGATGTGGCCTGAAACTTTTCTAAAATTGCATGTAGACATTTTTATAGGGTGACTAATTTCAGCATGCACAGTTGTTTTATTGGAGAGTTCTCACCGTTCCTGTATTCTTCCACCTCACTCTCCTCCTCCAGGTGCTCAGATGCGGTGAGAAAGTCTTCCTCGATTGAAGACAGGGAACAGTTCGTGTCATCCTCCACCTTCAAGATGTTTGTGTCCAGGTGGAGCTGCCGCTCCTGAACCAATTCCAGGCCAATCAAAAATTTGTTGATTTCAAAGATGATGCAGTTGGTACTGTTTGATCTGTTCCCCCTTGCACACTGGACCAAGCAGATGTCTGGCAGCCAAGGATACTAAAAGTGGAGAGAAAAAAAGGCTTTTATTAGAAAAAGAAATTAGAAAATCATTGACTCTGACCTTTCTTCTTCCCTCAATCTCTCCTGTTCGGAGTGGGGACCTTTAAAATATTTGGAACATCTTCTAGGCTTATTCTGATGAACTGCTTGAAAAAAATTCAAGTGCTATTTGGGAACACAGAGTACCTAGGAGAAAATTTGACATAGGGGAAAATAGACCAGTTGTACCACATATTTTTGTTCTCTTCTGTCAAAGCAAAAATTGCCCTGGGCAAAGTTAATCAGGTAAGGAAGTCCTTCTTCAAAGCTATTAAAATAGAGGAGAGAGGCCAGAACTGAGTCAGACCACAACTCCACTGAAACAAAAGATGATTGGGTTTTTAAGAGCTGGTGTAGAATTATAGTCTACCTGTGCTCGATAATTGGCTTTGCCCAAAGGAAAACTAAACTTTTTTGTGTCTTCATGATAGGAGACAGTTTTGCAAATTGAAGCAACTCTCACAAAGGCCTAAATTATTTTGTAGGTACCACAGTCCCTATGTTTTCATAGATCAGCAATATTGGGGTAGCACAGCAATGCCAAATCTCATCTTAGTCAACTATTGCCAATACCTGCTGGTTTAGGGATATTCTCAGTTTGGCTGCCTTGTCCCATTAAAAGTTGCTTACCTACTGGTTCAGAAATGGGCACATGACACATGAGAGCTAACAGGACTCAATGAGACTTTTCCTGGGAGCCACCTGGAAGAGACATTCTCTCTTTCTTACTCAACTTGAATCCAAAGGATATTGCTTTCTTGTGAGAAGAGCTTGTCTGACAATGGGGTATACAGAGAGAAAGCAGAAGAGAGGCCACAAGAGAATATGCATATCTGATGACATTGTTCAAATCCCTGTATTTAATCTACCCACTGGATTTTTTAGTTACATGAGACAATGCATTCTCTCTGTGCTAAGTCAATTTTCTGATACATTTAATTAGAAATCCCAACTAAAAGGACTGGTCTAGAAATATTCTTAAAACTGAGGTTTGTAAATTACTTTTGGTCATAATGATTTTGCCTAATATAAAGAGAGGGTATTTAGAGACAGTTCTGTGTTCTCTTTTCAGACAATTAATTTTCTTACTAAGGAAATGTATTATTAGATTGCCTCCGAGGATTTTGTTCTAGTCTTGCTTAACAAATTGTAATGGGCTGTGCGTACATTTTTACAAAGCATCAGGAGTAGAGCAAGAAATAGTGGGTGGGCCTCTGAATTTTTTGATAATTTGAAATACTGAAGAATAAATTATTTAAAAATTTGCAGCAAAACCAAAACCCAAGAAAGGACAATTTGAAGAAAAACAAATGCTTATTATCTTAATCTATAGCTTTCAGTATAAACATATCTTATTTGAGAAAATTAGCAATCTTTCATACAATGTGCCTTTAGACATCTTTTATGTATTTTTCTGTAAGTTGATTAAACACTTTGCATATTTTTATTTTTCTTCAAATAAAGAGTATAATAATGATTTATCTAATAACAATGGACAACAGGGTGTTGAATGAGAACAATAATTCCTACTTTATTTTTAGTAGCATTCTTTTCTTTTGGAAATTTCATTCCTTGGGACCAAGAAACTCTATTTGCATCCTGGGGGCTGCTATCTTATACTTACTACTTGGCTGTTTGGTGCATCCTAAGAACTTAAAAACATCCAGAAAGAAGAAACTCTGGGATTCTGGGACCACATAGTGTGAATTAGAATTTTGGTGTTACTCTTGTAACAGAAGACAATTCTGCCTTTTACTACCCAGCATATTTTCAGAAAACCAAGCTAACCAATCAATGCCTAGTGTGTCTGCTCTAGTTTAAGTGCCAGGTAGCACTATGAACTTGAGTTGATGTAAAGGAAGGTCTGTCAAACTCTAAGTTGCAATATTTCGGAGAAATACAAATGAACTATTAAATACAAAGACGTTCTTATTTTTTATGCTATAAGAGTTTATGTGAGGCATCTATTTGGGGTTCATACTGATATTTGCCAAGAGCCAACCATTGATAACATCATCAGTGCATGAGCACCTCATCAAGAGCCTATACTTCTTACCTGTGAAATCAGTGCCAAAGTATCTACTCTTAGCCATAGCTAAAAACGGCCTCAAATCACTCATATAAATCCCCAAACACCCAGTTCTTATGATGCCAACTTGCTTTGGCATCTCTCTTTGATGAACACTGCTCCATAATCCCATCAAATGAAATCATATGTACGATTTATTTTGAAAACCCTTCCAATACTACACAGATGAATGATATCTGGAACCTACTGGAAAGCTTCAGATGAAGCATTGTCAAAAAACAAAAACATCACAGAAGTCCTGAGTAATTGCAGGTCTACTGTTCTGTGATAATCAAGCTGCAAATGGCATGCTGCTATACATTAAAAGCATTACATTCAATAGTGAGATCAAACCATCTGCAGCTCTGGGCATGAAACGATCATCACACCAATCATTCTTCCCATTGTGTCCAGAGGCTATAGCACAAAGGATGGCATGAGCCTTCAAGTTCCTGTATGTTGTCAAGGATTTACATCAGGATTCTCACAACTTTGGACGATCTTAGAATACGTAGCTGCTGCAGAGTGTGAAACGTTTGAGCTCCAGAGAAGCGTAGGGACTGGGAAAGCAAGGTTGGTGATAAAACATTTGACGATGAAAAAGCAGCAGGAAGCAGCAACCTTGAGAGCCAGAGGAAAGAGCTGGAAAAACCTTGGAAAAGCTGTCTCAGACAGTGCTTGAGAGTGGAGAAGGGGAGAGCAGAAAAGGACACTTTAAGGAAATGGTGGGAGGAGGAAGTGCCTGCTGGGAGAGTAGCTCTGTCTCTTGGGAAAACAAATTTCACAAACATAAGGCAGGCAAATTGCATGGGAAAGTGAAGGAAGGGGGTCAGGGAAATGGGCTGTGATGAAACCATCCAATTAAACAGTCCCCTACAAAATGAGCATCATTTAGAGATGAAGTCCTGTTGGTTCTCCCATCAGTGCAGCCCACCCTTGTAATGAGCTCCTGGAGAGCCCGAGTCCCCAGTGTTACCTGCTGCAGGTGCTCTGTGCTGCACTCATCCTTGTTCACATCCAGGTTCACAAAGCAGACCTGGGAGAGAGGGCAAAAGAGGCAGTTAAGTAAGAAACCTGGCAGTTCTTCTTGAAGAAAGCAGGGATCAGCTGGGGGCAAATGATTTGAGTTTTACACATTTAATATTGTTGATTGAATATGTTATCTTTGGGCTTCTATGCCAACTTCTCTACCCTGGTCATAATTCCCACTGATCCACCAAACGCCCTCTTCCTTTCATGGCCCAACAAACAAAGCAGTGTCTTTGTATTAGAGTCAATGTAACAGTTACAACAAAATCTTCAGGTTTATAAAGGGCTATCGAATCTCATGAAATAGAAAAAAAGACTTGTAATACTCTAGACCTCTGTTTGTAACTGCAATAAACACATCTTCTCATTTCTCTATTTCCTCTTCTCATTTCCTGCTCCCTCTCTCACTTTTAATATAGTGTATGCTAAGTGGATTTCTCTTTGTTTCATGGTTTTAAGTTAATTTATTTAATCTTATTACATAGCTGGCCTCTTTTTAGCCATCTTAAATACATGTCTGAATAGGTTAGAGCATAAAAACAACAGCTACAATCTTAAATAGTAATTCAGAACAATGATAACTTAAATCTCAAACACATCCCATAGATAAAAATGTACTATGGGCATTCAGAGGGAGATGAGAAGAAGAAAACTTAAAGAAAAGTTTCAAGACATAAGATACACTCTTGAGAGTTGGCTAGGATCTTGGTGGGTGGGAAGCAGAAGGGTGTCCCTGGGAGGTCGGGTAGCATGAGTGATACTTGGAGATGGAAAGTTCCACACACTGTAGAGAAGCAGGGAGGGAGAGAGGACTGACTGGAGCGCAGAAGGGCCTGCAGAAAGGGAAGAGTCAGAAACAAGGTCATGCAAGGTTCACGTTACATGTTATCATGGGAATGAGGCTTTATAACATTTTGCTAAAAATCATCCAAAGGTATTTACTAGTATTCTTAACAAGTTGGTTTGGCCATGTAAAACTGAGAACATTAATTATCTGGTTATTTAATCAGATGTTTGGACTTAAGCCCATGCCCACAGGTATATGGGCTTTCTGATTTCAGTAGTTGTTCATGGTCCTGGTTTCTCAGAGTCCATACCTTTTCCTTTGAGGTTAAACAAACACCAAAACATAATAAAAAGATTTTGGGAAAGTCCTTAAAATAGTTCTAGGTTGCTGAAGTGTCAAGACCACTACTTTTTACTCTCCCCAACAATGGGAGATTCCTGGGCTCACAATATCTTTACAGTGTATCCTCAGAATGCTGTTGTTGAGGATAACTAGATGGCCATTTGGGGGAAGAAAGTGGCACCTACACTCTCATTCAGAGGTCCTCTTCCTTAGGGTTATTAAGATGGGTAAATAGGGAGGAAGTGAACAGCAGTTCCTTTGCCAACAGAAGCATAAAGGGTTCATGATCTGGAGTGGTTTCAGGATATTTATATAACAGCAGTAACTTTGCCCTTGGAAAACTGGTTCAATATTCTTTAGTACTCCAGAGCTTTTAATAGCCTGCAACTGGGATGGCAGTTACTGAATTGATTAGACAATTTTCCATTCTCCTTGAAGAAAGGTGCACTACCTTGACCCTGGGTTCTTATTATCTTATATCACCGTGGGAGCGGGCAGAGACTAAAGAAAGGCATCTGTAATAACGACTTCTCTGCTCTCTGATACTGTCTTTAGTTCTCTGAAGATGAACTTACTTTTCATTCATTTCAGGCTGTAATGTGAACTCTGCCTACATTTGGAGGAAACTCTTCACACTTACTAGCTGGGACAAGATGGAAATAAAGCTAGATATAAGCCAACCACTTGCTTATAGTTGGCGCATATCTTTCTTTGGGGATGATCCAGGTTTTTAGGGTCTGATGTACATACAATTTTGGGAGACCCTCTTTAAGAGAAAGAAAAACAAAATTGAAAATTCTAACTTAGGTGTGAAAGTGAATATTCATTTCTTTAGAAGGAGAAAAGAAATGGCAACAAATTTCCAATACAAAAAGGCTGAGAAATACTGCAAACATGACAACTTCCGGAAAAGTGATATTTTAACCCATCAACTGCCAAAATACCTCTGCAATACTTTCCCCTTACATTTTAGCTCTATAATATCTGTCTCTTCATATGACAGCAGCTTTAGATTTTCTCTAAAGGGAATAGAAAGATAATCCAGTCTTATTGTTGTCTGCATATTTTTTCAGCTTCACAAACCTTTGCTGATAATATCTTATACATTTTCCAGGTTGATGACAAATTTAGTGGGAAATCACTATAAAATTTCTTTGATATATGGGTTGTTATAGGCATACCTATTACTTGTAATACAGGTTTCTGCTATACAAATGTATGAATGTGGGTTGATTCTTTTTTATTGATTTCCATTTAAAAAAAGAAATAAAACACAAATGATGTAGTTAGTTATTATTTTCAATGCTGCATTATCAAGTAAATTTCTTCCAGGAGAGAACCCAATCTTGAATTTATAATTTCACATGTCTGGTGATATAATTCTCCACAGGCTAGTTTCCTTGTTTTCTCTCTACCGTCTATATTTCTTCATATATTTCTGGTATTGGGGATAGTAGGACATGCTTACATTGCAAAGTCATCTCTGAGCTGACACCTTCATGCCTCAATGTCCGGTTGAGTTGTCCATGGTAAGAGTATTTCTGGAAGCCAACCCGACATGTGGATGGCTAGCAATCACTTAACTATCCATGGAAATGCTCTCAAGTCACATGAATATATTCCATAAAAACACAATGCCAGTCAATTTCCCTTAAGAGAGACCTCACACGTGTCTGTGGTCACTCCAACGACTCTCCATATGAAGGAAGGTAAGATATAGTGGGAGTCTGAATGCAAGGAAACAGTTGCAGTTAAAATATCTTCCTTTCGAAAAATTTACAAAAAACTTATGACCATGTGGACACATTGGCCAACCCCGTTCCCCAGGTCACTGAGAATGGAGCTTGTGCACCCGAGGAGCCTAGACCGTTAAACTTTAATGATTTCACAGTCAATCCACATTGTGGTAAAATGGTCCTTGTGATGGAATTGCCCTCTGTGTATGTTCACTCTTCATGATGTTGGGTTTTTTACTTGAGATTTAGGTATGCACGATGCATCCACTAATGCTGAACCCCAAGTGGAGTGCAAGACAGGCCTTTGTCTAGAAGCACTGGGGAATGGAAGGAGTGGGGTAGAGGTTGTGTGTAGTTTAGTGAGAGGACTTAGTGCTCCCTCTCCAAGGTGTACGGTCTTGGTGCTGGTGCTGAAAAGACAAGCAATACGAGGTATTGTTCTTACTCTCAGGGAGTTCTGGTATGTCTTCAGGCAGAACACATTGCTATAACTATGAAAACATTATTAAGTATCACAGGAGTGACAGGTCTGCATGCTGGAGGAAGTTGGGAGAATGAACTCAATCACATTGGATTTGCAGAGAAGGCTGGATATGAGTGAGGTGAGCTTGGAAGGCAGGCAGGACAGCTACAAGAGCAGAAGAGGAAAAATGGCACAAACAATAAACGGATGACTGTTCCTGAATCAGCACCTGCTGAGTAATGATAAGAGGCTCTTTGGTCAGCATGCGGTGAGGAGAGGGAAAAGACAGAGGCTGTGAAGTCCAAGGCAAGAGGCACCTCCTAGAGGTATTCCAGAAGTGAGATCAAAGGTAAGAGCAAAATGCCTTTCTTTCTGCTCAATGAAGACTCTGGGTGTCATTCAGTTGACTTTTTAAAGAGTTGGATGAAACAAGAAATCATAATTCCATGAATCTTCCCTGTGCAAGAAGAGGGGAAAGACCGGAGGGTTAGAATGAGATATGTCCATCTCTATAGGAGGTTATAAGGAAACTCTTGGCAATGGGAAATTGAAAATAAGTGTCTGGAGGTCAAGGTGAGTGTCATATGTCACTAAAATATTGAAGCGCAGGAGATTCTGCACTATGGTCCTCTGGTATATTGAAAGGAATGCTTAGGTTCTGGAGAGGATGACTTGAGCAGGGAGGCTGAGGCTGTATGTCTGAGACACCAGCCACTTGGGGATGAGGTTAACGACTCTGTGTTGACTCTTCACCTCAATCTGAAGTGATGCCATGGAGTTATCTATACACTTGAAACTAATATAATATTGAATGTCAACTGTAACTGAAAAATAAATAAGTAAAAAAGTACTTAGGTTGACTTCTTTGTCCTATGAATAAGGATTTGCTAAAAAATGGGGAAAGGCAAAATTTGAGACCCATAACCAGTAATAAACACACATAAAAGTTTTTAATATTTTTCTTGGAATGGAAGCTCCTTTCTCTTCACATAAAAAGCAGTTCGTGTTGTGCCTGCACACAGCCTTGCTTCGACCATCTGCAGACATGCTCCGCCAGGGCCACGACACATCATCACCCAGAGAACACACACCCACTTCCTTGCCTCCTGAACAGAGCTGATTTGATGTCTGCACATCACTTTTACATTCAAATGGCTCCCTTTTGTCATTATGGTTTTAAAATAAAATGCTTTCGGAATAACTATCACTGACAAAACGATGCCGCTTTGTGATTTTGACTTTCACATAATCTAAAAGTCCAAAAGTCTTCAATGTTGTTATCTATACATAGTAAACATTTTAATGTACAATTATTTATTTTACTTGTAAGCCATTTTCATAAAAGAGAACCATGTAGCCATTTTTAAAATTTCATAATGAAATTTTATTAGATCGTGATATTCTATATAATAAAGGCCTAATATGCTAAGTGTTTGACCGTTTGACCATTCGACCAGTTGCTATGATGTGCACTGACCACCAGGGGGCAGATGCTCCAACCAGTAGGAGAGCTTACTGCTGGGGTCCGGTAGATCAGGACTGGGCGAGACAGGCCGGACACGTCCTGGAGGCCTCCCGTGGTCCCTCCAGGGCCCTGATCATGCACCATTGGGGTCCCTTGGCTTGGTCTGTGCCCTCTCACTATCCGGGACCCCTTGGGGGATGTCGGAGAGCTGTTT